AGACATTCAAAGCACGGTGCTTGCAGATGGCGTGTTTGACCTCCAGTGGCAGCTGGGCTTGACGGTGAATGCGGGGCAAGGTGGCGAGGGGTGGGTTGGCGCATGAAAAGACGTGTGAGTTTCTTTGGTGTGGCACCAGAGGAGAGGTGGGTTGGCGGGTGAGATGTTGGGTGAGTTTTTCTGGTTTGGTTTGCTCCATTTCATACTCTGTGAAATGTGGCGAGGGGTTTGGAGTCGCGTTTTAGTTCCAAATATTTGGGGCATGTTCTGAAACTTCCTTACACGACGAGTCGGAGGTTCGTGTCGCAATATTAGCTGTTGCGTAGTGTGGAGGAATTTGCTGTACGAGTCTATTCATGGGTTTGATTTCGGATGTTGAAAACGGGCCCTCGCAATTGGGCAATTGCGACTCCATTTTGCTGCCAAGTCAGCATTCGGTTTCATGCGGCGACGCTCAAGCCAAAAACAAACCCAGCGTGGCTTACGCACCTTTGCGAGCTCAATGAAAGGCTCGTTAAGTTTCGCCTGAGCGTTATTCCAAGGGCGGTTGCGAGTTTGTGGCGAAAACAGTTGCGGCGCACATCCTTCGTCTTGTGCCACATGTTTATCACCGCTGTCATGATGACGCTGCACTGCTGGCTCTGTTCTCGGCCCAAATTGAGTGGGCCGTTGCCCGTGTGTCGACGCTAATGGGCGCTGGTTTCTGATTGGGCCACGTTTTGCGCTGGGCGTCGGGTGTGCTCTAAGTGTAATGGTAACCACCCAAGCCACTTTGGGCCTTCCCAAACCAGGCTGTAAAGCTGCGCAAGTGGTATCGATACAGGCAAGGGACCCCGACTCCACCGCTTCCCACTTCAATTTGGCGGAGTCCAATTGGAGGGGTGCCAGAGCTCACATTTGCCTGGAGAGAAACTGCCCCTCAACCTCCACGATTTAGTGGGTGCGCTCTGCACACAACGCTACTCTTTCGGGTTTTGACAGTTCGAGGTTGGTTTGGCATGTTTTTGCGGGCTGACGTAGGCTCTGGACAAAAAAAAATCTGATGTGGAACCTTCTGAACTCGATTTGGAACCTATGAAAATTGCCTAAATAACACAGCCGCTGTGCAAACATCCAGAAAGTTGGGATTTTAGGGCTCGCTACATTGCGACCGAGTCTCCAATGAATTTCCAATCTTGGCACTGTAGAAAGCTGGTAACTCGACTGCTACATTAGCCTCGAAATATTAATGTAGCAGATCGTTGGACAGGATCACTTTCGAAACAAAGCTGGGAATCAATCGCACGTCCGAAATACAAACGATCCTCCTCGTCAAAGTCCCAGATCGCCGTACCTCCAAAGGCCACGAAACCAAAAGCGCTTCGCCAACTCGCCATTGTGAAAAATGTGATAATGCAAATGCTCTAGTCTCGCGCCGCACTTGCGAATGTCCAGGGAGGGTTGTTGGGTTCTGGCGAAATGCTCTGCGAAATGCCTTGCTGACCAACTGCAAAACGATACTTGATATCGAAAGTTGCAAATCTGGAACATGGCTATATCGCATACATAGTCTATATCACAGATCGTTTGTAATGAGTCAGAATCGATATCCTAAAAATATAGACAATCGAAAATTTTCCAGCGATCCTCCGACACCGACGCAATGTAGCGCATCCTTAGGGCGTGTCCTAAAAAATTGTCAACCCGTTTTGGACATGTAGAGTCGTCTGAAGGTACGCAATGTGAATCAATTTTCAAACTAATCCCGTTTTGGGAACAGGCCCGACGTGAAGGGTACAACTCGGAAGGACAGCACCGAGACCAGCACATACGTGGTGGCGGGTAACGGGGTCCCGTCATGCGAAACCAGCGCAACAGGCGCGTGTAACAAGAGGGCCAATCCACTATCATAATATTAGTACAGGTCATATGCCCTGAGAGCCCGGGGGGCGACGCGAGAGATTTCGCTTACAACGAATACGGGCCGTACGGTAGGGGCAACGTGGACTATGGGGTTTTCCCAGGAAATGGGGCGGTGTTTTTTGTGTACTGTGCATGGGCGGCTTGACTGGCGTATGCAGCGATTGAGTAAACGTCGCAGCGTCGCAAGTCTCTCCACCTGTGTATCAACTTCGCGTTTCAAGCTGGTCCCTCGATAACCTAGGGGTCACCCTGCGTAATCCGAGTTTGCCCAAACCTTCCTGGCTATGTAGCTCTAAAACTTTTGACTGTTTTTGCACGCATGAGTTTCTCCCTGCTCGGAATGTGCCACTCCTGACAATGACAGGGGAGCCAATTTTTTCTAGGGGTGTGAACTTCTGCATAATTTTTTTCAGGGTAAGTCCACCCCCTACTCAAAACTCGGGCATCGAAATTTCACCCTGCTTTTCTTGAAAAAGAAGTGTAATTACCCTCACTTCCACAGGCCTGGTTTCAAAAGAATAACAGATTCCTTGACGCGCTCCTGGGCGCGTTCCTATTGGTTGTGGTTTGACGGATTTTCTAAGCGCGACGCCGACGGATTGCGTTGGCTTTGCAGTCGTGATCCTATTGGACCGTCAGCGAGCTGTTGGATTTTTTTTTTCGACATTGGTTGGCGAGCCTGACACATCTGGATTTTCAGAGGCTTGCCGACCACTAGGCGTGGTCGCTCTGAAAACACAGGAGAAAAATTATTGGACGGTCTTGGATCATCCGACTTGACTGTCTTATTTTCTGTTCAGTTGAGACGGGTACACTTTGCTTACAAGAAGAGGCCCTTAAAGCGAGAAGTCAAAATAGTGAAGGCGGGTCCAGCTTGAAAGGGCCCAGACGTCTGTTTTTGCGACTAAGGGACAAACTGCGACGGGGCAGAGGGTACACTGACGAGAAATGCGAGCAGGGGAAATTGAGCGAGAAGAGGCAGTTACCTGATTGGTTGACGGGAAACACATGACGTACGATGGGAAACGTGGCTCAGGAAAAATCGCAAGCAGCGCACCACCTGTCGCCCAGGCCCCACTGCCTGTAAGCTGCACCAAATGGGCCCAACTCGAATTTCAAGTTGGACCGAGGTTCACTACTCCGGCAAAAACGAGGCTGGGCCCCGATTGGTCGAAATGCTAACTGCGCGAATCTGTGGTCGTAAAATCTGCCGCCAGTGCGAAATGTCGCAAGTGCAATTCCATTTCGTGGCCTACGGCTTGGTAAAAAACGCGGGCTGCTGCCTGCCCCTCCAAAAACATATTTACTGTTGGGTCGTTTCTAGTTGGGCCCAACTAGAAAGAGGGGTCACTATTATAACCTCTCGCTTTAAGGATAAAATGCATATGAGATACTCCTGGGCGTAAAAGGAAGTCGCCTACAAGGCATATGATCTGTACCAGCTTTCGCCGTCGTGGCAGTAAATTTGGTCTGGTATGTCTTGCACTATTTGGGTGTGTTGGATTTGGTAGGGAAAGTTGTTCGCTAGCGACGTGCGAGGCCGCAAAGTTCGTGCGACAATTTCACTAGAGGTGGTGTTGGTATTGGATGGCGAATTGAATTTTTGTGCGGTTTTTTTGGTCGTGCGGAGGTACCTGGAAACGTGCGCTTGTGTCCGCCAATTTTGGGTGTGAGTTGAGCGGATCCTATTCGGGCGCGTTTTATGGTTACATACCTAAAAGTGGTAACTGAAGTAGGCGTTGAACAGAGCGCGTACTTTAGTGGCACGCCCTAACTTCAGCTTCAGCCTAGCCGGGCACTTTTTCGGTGGCGGGAATCCGCAACACGTGGGTGCCAGCCTGAACCCCTCTGGGCAGGTTGAGTTGCGAATTGTGGTTTGTGGGCCACTGGGCAGGCAATCTCCTCTTCCAGCTTGGCTTAATCTGACCGTCGGGCGGGAACGTTTCCCACCGCTGGGCCTTGTGGCATCGAAATATTATCTGTTCCCCGCATCCATTTCCCATTGGCCCCCAGCAGGATGGCTTTGTGTCCAGCGAACTCCTACGGGTAGAAGCAAAACCCAGCTTTTCCACAACAGAACTGCTTTGACACTGTTCGTTTCGGCTGGTGTACTGGACCGTGAAAATCTGTGTGACGCAGGACTATGATTGGTGGACGAGTGATTATGTTGGAGGAAAACTTCGTTTCCCACTGGCTTCCCTGGGGAGAGGGCTAGATTATTGCACTTTCCGGCCGATTTCAAGCCGAACATAACCCGATATTTCAAACCCTACTGTATCCCTCTAATCTCGAAAGCTCATGGAATTGGTTTTTTAGGTTAGAGGTAACCCTTACTGACGTTCTAATTTCTGGGTCACCTTTTAGACCCTATTACGGAAGGCTTTTTCGCTGTTCAAACCCCCCCGGGACAGTTTTTTTTGTTCTTTGAGGTTATTTCGCTCCACAGTGAACCACGTGTAACAATCTCCTCAATCTTGGGCAGGGGGCAGAAACAATAAAACCATTAGGGCCCCCCCATGCCATTCTGGATTGCATCAACCGTAAACTCGCAAAAGGGCCGCGAATTTGGGTTTGATGCCCCTATGGTTTTTTTTTCTTTCCAGCTAACCTGCCCGGATTTTGTCGTCATTTTCAGTAGCGCTACAGATCCGACAGTATCGCAGGAAACATAGGGTTCAGTTGCCCTACAGTGACGGGGCAAGGAGATTGTGACGCGTGGTTTTCTGTGGTGCGAGCTAACTCGAAGAAGGGAGGGAACAACGAAACATCCTTCCGTTAAAGGGCTAGACGTGACCCAATGGAGTAAACGCCAGTAAGGGTTGCCGCTAACGTAAAACCCCCCATAAATTTGACATCCTGGTTGTGAGCTGTTCTGCTGGGGGCGGAAGGACTGCCTACAGCATCTTAGGACGCGGAACAGGCTGTCCGGCTCACGAGGTGAATTGTCAAACCAGTCAGAGTACCGTAATTCACCTCTTTGTAACTTACTCAGAACTATCTTAAACATTTTTTACCGCATCAAGTTGATCCTCTGGAGGATCGATTCAGCCCAATTGGTTACTGTAGCGTGCTCCTTGTTCTTAGTTTCTCGCCGAACGATCCTCCTTTGATCTGCCCTCCGCCACACGTCATGGCCAGCACTTACTGATCGAAAAGCTCACATCCAGATCGCATATGACGCTAGATGCTGCTGGCAGCGATGGCGTGGCGCGTTTTCATAGCACCGCTCGAGCAGGCAAGCACGTTTACAGCTCGCGGCGCGTCGCGCGCTTTATCTGTGGCTGCTTATTCGGGATACGAACGATCACACGCTACTCCACTGTGCAGATTCCGTAGTGGGCCACTGCGAGTTCAAGGAAAAAACAGTCCCCAATGGTTCAGCAAGGGACCGGTCCACGATTGGTGTGTTTTGAGCAGATCGGCCCTCGCGATTCGCCGTTGCAAGGTCCAGAAAGCCCAGAGGACTCTCCTTCCTTCCCCGGTATTCAAAGGCGATTCATTCGCACTTCCAGCCATCGGCTCATAGATTCCTCGTTCCCTCTCTACCGCGCCATCGCGAGCAACCGCATCACCTCTAGCTTCGCCTAACGTTCGTCCCCCCCTTCCTTGGCATTACGGCCTTGCCATCGACAACAACACCGCGTCGCCGTCCTTTCTGTGCTCGTTTCCGCCCGTTTCCGCCTGTTTCGACCCACTCCCACACGACCCCATCTCGACCGTCCAATGATGGCGTGCCACGCCCCGAATCTGATGACTCTCTGCCCGCGGCTGCGCGCATGGGCGGAGGAGCGCCATCTCGCGGTCGCCATCCCGTCCCCCCCCGACTGCATTTCCGACTTCCCCGAGGAGCGCCAGACCTCCCCGTCGCTGCAGGAGCAGCGCCGCCTGCTGCTCGGCTCCCGCTGCGGCACTCCCCGCTCCCTCTTCCGCCGCACTTCCGCCATTTCCGCCACTTCCGCCGCTCCCGCAACGTCTTCCTCCCGCGCGTTCCCCGACATCCGTTCCGCCACGGCCCAACCCGCGAGCTCAGAGCCAAGCTGCGCCCCTGCATCCGGCCGATCGTACACAACTCCCGCCGAATTTTGCGACGCTCGCAGCGCGGAAAATCTCCTCCCAGGCAGCAACTCCGATTCGCGCGAAACAGCCGCGCGTTCGCCGCATTCCGGTCCCGACGCCTCGAAGCCTGCTCCCGGCCACCGAAGAAGTTCCTCTGATTGCGGCACGAGTCGCTTGATGAAGCTGGCGCGCTGCGACCTTCTCGGCTCGCGGTGTGGCACGCCGAGGCGGGCCACTGGCGCGGATCCGTGGGCGTTTCACCACCGTCCGCGCAGCGTGACGTGGCATCTTCCGCGGGACGAAATCCCCTTTTCCTACTCCATGCCTGTCCCCTCCCGCGGGGGTCTCCGCCTGCTGCGCGCGGACGTGTTGGGGTCGAAATGCGGAACGCCCAAATTCCGCGCGCCTGCGGAGCCAGAAGCCATATGGAGCCTGTGAGATGGCTAGCCGGAATTTCAGCCGGTAGCCTGGGAACGCTAGCCCATTTTAGGGCGGTCTGACGGCGACTGATTGAAAAACAAGCAGGCATGGAACAGGGGCTCTGCTGTGTGGTGTGCCGCTGGAGTGGTGGTGGTGACTGCAATTGGAGCATCCAACTCCACTCCACTCTACTTTCTGTTCATTTTTTCATCATGGCTGAAATGCGGCCATGGTCTAGACTATATCGCATCTGCTCGCTTACAGCAGTAATTCCGTTTGCTCCCTTGCCAATCACTTGTACCGTACATAGAAATAATTGGCTTATCGGTCTCCTCTCCTTTTCTAGCAACCTGTTGGGTAAAACATGGGACAAGATGACATGGTATCAATCCCTCCAAACTTTCAGCTGCCAACCTTGAATGCATCCACAAAGAGCCCCAATATGATCCCTGCCTTCCAGAAGTTCACCAGCGCTACGGCATCCACCAACGCACCCTCCCCCTTGTCCGCCCCCCCATCTGCCTTCACATCTCCACCCGACCCTCTCACACCTGCTGCTACTCCCCCTCCTGCTCCCACTCTTTCCCCTGCTGCTGCTGCACTCTTTGCTGCTGCTGCGCTCTTGGCTGCTAGTTTCGATGCTTCAGCAGCAGCAGCCCCAGCAGCGCGCAGGCGCAGGCGGTAGAGGCAGGCGCCAAGGAGCTCAAGAGACGCCACCAGGGAGCCGGCCACCAGCACGTCCCAGTCGCCGGTCTGCCCCACAATGGTGGACAGGGCGTTGGCTGAAAAGAAACCCGCCAGCAGTACCAGCACCTTCACAAACACCCGCCTCCTCACGTTCTGCCATCGACGCTGTATGGAAAGGGGGTTGGGGAATGGGATGGGAAGGGAAAGAGTGATGTGTTGAGGAAGGATAGAGGCAGGCCCTGAGGAGCTCAAGGGAGGCCACCAGGGAGCCAACGACCAGCACGTCCCAGGCTCCTGTCTGCCCCACGATGGTGGACAGCGCGTTGGCTGAGAAAAACCCCGCCAGCAGAACCAGCACCTTCACGAAGACCCGTCTCCTCACGTTCCGCCACCGACACTGTTAGGGGGGTGGGTGGGGAATGGGAAGTGGAGGAGCGGGATGAGCTTCGAGAGAGCGCAGGTTGTGAAGACCCCCCCCAGCAGCACCAGCACCTTCACAAACACCCGCCGCCTCACGTTCAGCCACCGACAGAAAGGGAGAGGTGGGGGGTGGGAAAGGGAGGGATGCTGAAGAAGCAACAGTGAAATTGTGTTTTGAGAAAAGTAGCTGCAGGCGGCAGATGCATTGCATTGCAATCGATGCCATGAGTCACGAGCAATCGCGGCTCTCCTCACCCTCTCCATACAAGCGCACCTTTATAACATCCAGTGTCGCTTGGACGAGCGATCTTAAGTTAGAGTCGCCATCGGCTGAAGGCCGGCCAGATGCAGCAGCTGCGGTGATCACGCCTCTCCTCGCCCTGCTCGCTCCCCTCGCTCCCGTCCGCTCTCTGCAGCCACTACTGCTCGAACCGGTAGCGGTGTAACCAGGAGTCTTGTAACCGCTCCCAAACAAGGACGTTGGGCTCGTAGCAGTGTCATTCAGGCTGCTTTTGTAGCAGCCCAATCCACTGGAGAGGCCTCGAGGAAGATTGCATCGTTGCACTCGGGCATTCGCGCACGGATGGTCCACGGAAGGGCTCCGTGCGACGCTTGTGCGACGCTGGCAGGCGTCTGTCGCTGCCGTCGCGCATGCGACGATTGTCGCTTGAGGTCGCTGTGACGGATCGACTCGGCATAATGCCTCACGCGCGGCTCCGCTTTCTGATGTTCGACGAATCGAAGACGACCGCTGGGATACAGCCGGACCGCACCGAACTTCCAATACTCGGGTTACCATCGCTTCGGCTACTACGAACCTAATTTCTGGATCGGAAGAGATATTTGCACGGGGAGGACTGGCGGGAAAATAATACCCAGTGAAAATAGTCCCAGTGAAAAGGACCACAAACTGAGACTAAGGGATTACGTACGGATTTTTTATTTGGGGCGATAGGGTGAAAACAGAGGGCTGGTGATGGGTTTGATGCGGTGAAAGAGCCTGTGGTGGTGAGTGCGGGTTTGGTTGGAGTTCAGTTTTGCGGGTACCATTCCCGACGAATCACGACGAATTACAGATGGAATCCATCACCACCACCCGTTTCCTGAATGACGACGACGCTTGCGAAGGACAAAGAAAGAGTTACACTCCCTTTTCGTGCAGAGGATGACGCCAGCCCAGGTTGCGCCGAAACGTCACGGAACCTGAACATCCCACACGGTTTGCGAACCTCGCTCAATTAACCGCGTTTAACCACGGCAAATCTCACTCCGCCGCATAACTAACACTCACCAACTCTCCCCAGCCATTCTTCTGCTTCCACTTCACTTCCTCCACTCTACAGCCTATGCGCTCTGCTTTATTCATACCGAAGTGTAAGCTAGTGCTGACTCTCTCGTCCTCACTTTCCTGACTCTTTGAGTGCTAACTCTTTGCTGCACGACCGCTTCGCTCTTCGGCGCTTTGTCTATGTCCCAAGACTGCATCCCACTGGCAAGACCTGCATTACGTCCTTCATTGTCGCTCTTTCGAAGTCCTTCGTCGCTGCTCTCGCGCGGTCACCACCATGGGCGCGGGCAGGGAGGGCGAGCACCTCGACGACCCCGTACCGTTGCTCCGTGCTTCGCCTTCAGCCGCTGACCTAGCGCGCGAGGTACGGATGGCACCCGTATTCTTGCACATAATATTCCACGCCCCCCTAGCTCTCACCATTGCGTCCTTCTTATCAGCTTCCCCCATCTCCTTCCCACCCTCCTTTCCTTTCCCCCGCCCCCCGCCTCCCCTCAGCTCTCCGTGTTCCCCCAGGACCTGTATCTACCGCACCTGGCAACCCTAAAATCCCAAGAACAGACAAGCGCTGCCGCCCCACCACAGAAGCAGGCGAACGGCGCTCAGAATCGGACACGCAATGCCAGCCCATGCACAGCATTTTTCATTCCTCGCCGCCCTCCGCCGCCCTCAGAGGTGCCCGAGGAGCTCCCAGTGCCGCCCGCCTGTGCCTACGTGGCACAGATTGTCCATAAGTACATCCGGGGAAGCTTCCTGGATGGTGCGTGTGGGGAGATCCCAGGGAGTTGTGGAACGGGGGAAATGCAGCAGGAGAGAGAGGGGTGTGCGCCAGCGGAGGAAGAGAAGCAGCAGCAACAGCAGCAGCAACAGCAGCAGGAGCAGCAACAGCACCAGCGACACGAAGATGAGAGAGAGCGGGACCTAAGAACGGGAGAGGCAGAAGAGTCACCATTGATACCGCCGCCTCACTCACTCTCCTCCCGGCCTCTCTTCGTCCCGTGTGGCCGGGCACGGTCCAAGCTGGCAGTGAAGCAGCAGGAGTCAGTGCTGACGTGGCTCAGCCACTCGTACAACTGGCTGCTCAGGGTGAGACGCGTGGACCAATAGCTCATGGGGTTGTGAGAATGGGTGTGAGAATGGGTGTGAGGATGGGGATGAGTGGGTGTGAGGATGCGGATGAGTGGGTGTGGGGATGGGCGGCTTCTTTCTCATGGGATCAAGACGTGCCACCTTCTCACCCCTTCGTGCTCTAGCCTCACCCCCTCCATCTCGTGTGCTCTAGCCTCACCCCCTCCATCTCGTGTGCTCTAGCCTCACCCCCTCCATCTCGTGTGCTCTAGCCTCACCCCCTCCATCTCGTGTGCTCTAGCCTCACCCCCTCCATCTCGTGTGCTCTAGCCTCACCCCCTCCATCTCGTGTGCTCTAGCCTCACCCCCTCCATCTCGTGTGCTCTAGCCTCACCCCCTCCATCTCGTGTGCTCTAGCCTCACCCCCTCCATCTCGTGTGCTCTAGCCTCACCCCCTCCATCTCGTGTGCTCTAGCCTCACCCCCTCCATCTCGTGTGCTCTAGCCTCACCCCCTCCATCTCGTGTGCTCTAGCCTCACCCCCTCCATCTCGTGTGCTCTAGCCTCACCCCCTCCATCTCGTGTGCTCTAGCCTCACCCCCTCCATCTCGTGTGCTCTAGCCTCACCCCCTCCATCTCGTGTGCTCTAGCCTCACCCCCTCCATCTCGTGTGCTCTAGCCTCACCCCCTCCATCTCGTGTGCTCTAGCCTCACCCCCTCCATCTCGTGTGCTCTAGCCTCACCCCCTCCATCTCGTGTGCTCTAGCCTCACCCCCTCCATCTCGTGTGCTCTAGCCTCACCCCCTCCATCTCGTGTGCTCTAGCCTCACCCCCTCCATCTCGTGTGCTCTAGCCTCACCCCCTCCATCTCGTGTGCTCTAGCCTCACCCCCTCCATCTCGTGTGCTCTAGCCTCACCCCCTCCATCTCGTGTGCTCTAGCCTCACCCCCTCCATCTCGTGTGCTCTAGCCTCACCCCCTCCATCTCGTGTGCTCTAGCCTCACCCCCTCCATCTCGTGTGCTCTAGCCTCACCCCCTCCATCTCGTGTGCTCTAGCCTCACCCCCTCCATCTCGTGTGCTCTAGCCTCACCCCCTCCATCTCGTGTGCTCTAGCCTCACCCCCTCCATCTCGTGTGCTCTAGCCTCACCCCCTCCATCTCGTGTGCTCTAGCCTCACCCCCTCCATCTCGTGTGCTCTAGCCTCACCCCCTCCATCTCGTGTGCTCTAGCCTCACCCCCTCCATCTCGTGTGCTCTAGCCTCACCCCCTCCATCTCGTGTGCTCTAGCCTCACCCCCTCCATCTCGTGTGCTCTAGCCTCACCCCCTCCATCTCGTGTGCTCTAGCCTCACCCCCTCCATCTCGTGTGCTCTAGCCTCACCCCCTCCATCTCGTGTGCTCTAGCCTCACCCCCTCCATCTCGTGTGCTCTAGCCTCACCCCCTCCATCTCGTGTGCTCTAGCCTCACCCCCTCCATCTCGTGTGCTCTAGCCTCACCCCCTCCATCTCGTGTGCTCTAGCCTCACCCCCTCCATCTCGTGTGCTCTAGCCTCACCCCCTCCATCTCGTGTGCTCTAGCCTCACCCCCTCCATCTCGTGTGCTCTAGCCTCACCCCCTCCATCTCGTGTGCTCTAGCCTCACCCCCTCCATCTCGTGTGCTCTAGCCTCACCCCCTCCATCTCGTGTGCTCTAGCCTCACCCCCTCCATCTCGTGTGCTCTAGCCTCACCCCCTCCATCTCGTGTGCTCTAGCCTCACCCCCTCCATCTCGTGTGCTCTAGCCTCACCCCCTCCATCTCGTGTGCTCTAGCCTCACCCCCTCCATCTCGTGTGCTCTAGCCTCACCCCCTCCATCTCGTGTGCTCTAGCCTCACCCCCTCCATCTCGTGTGCTCTAGCCTCACCCCCTCCATCTCGTGTGCTCTAGCCTCACCCCCTCCATCTCGTGTGCTCTAGCCTCACCCCCTCCATCTCGTGTGCTCTAGCCTCACCCCCTCCATCTCGTGTGCTCTAGCCTCACCCCCTCCATCTCGTGTGCTCTAGCCTCACCCCCTCCATCTCGTGTGCTCTAGCCTCACCCCCTCCTTCTCATGTGCGCCACCACAGACGCTCTAGCAAACCCTCAACAACAGACACATCTCTCCCCTCCCCCCACCCACTCCCTTCAGCTCAACAGCATGGCCTTTGTGCTGCTCATAATGCTCCTCCTCTCTCCCCCCCCCCCTCCCCCCCCCCGAGCTGAACAACATGGCCTTCGTTCTCCTCATAATGGCAGCCCCCGCCCTCCTCGCGCTCCTCTTCACGCCGCTCTTCCTCGCCGTCGCTCCCGGCTCCGCCTTCCACCCTGACAGCCCCGAGTTCGAGTCCCTCTCCCCCTTCCCCCCTCTTCCCCCCCAGCTCAACAATGTGGCCCCCGTCCTCCTCGCGCTGCTCCCTTCCTCCTCCTCATCAGCTCCTCTCCCTTTCCCGTCTCTCCTCTCCCTTTCCCGTCTCTCCTCTCCCTTTCCCGTCTCTCCTCTCCCTTTCCCGTCTCTCCTCTCCCTCTCCCCCCCCCCAACCCAGCTCAACAACATGGCCTTTGTGCTACTCATAATGGCAGCCCCGGTGCTCCTCGCGCTCCTCTTCACGCCACTCTTCCTCGCCGTCGCCCCCGGCTTCGCCTTCCCCCCCGACAGCCCCGAGTTCGAGGCCCTCGACATCCCCGCCATCCTCTCCGGCCCGCTCGCCCCGCCGCTCGACCAATGGGAGCGCGCCACCAGGGCGGGCCCAGTGGCTGTGGCGGTGTGCTGGGTGTGCGCTGCGATGGTGCGCGTGGGGCAGCAGATGTACATCGCTCTGCACTTCTTCCTCTTTGCGTGAGTGCATGCCGGGCTACTCGCTTCTTCCTCTGTGCACCAGCCCCCACCCTCCCATCCTTCCCCCTCCGTCCTTATGCTTTCCCTCCCTTCTTCCCGACCCAGCCTCTCCCTATGCACCACAGTCGGCGGCTCGCCCCTGCAGGTGCTCTCTCGACTTTTCCTCACCCCCCTTTGCTCATCCTCGTGCCCCTTCCCTCCTGCGCCCCTTCCCTCCTGCGCCCCTTCCCTCCTGCTCCCCTTCCCTATTCCCTCCCCTCTTCCCCCCAGCCTCTCCCTCTGCACCACATTCGGTGGCTCGCCCCTGCAGGTGCTCTCACCCTCTGCGCTCCTCCTAGCCAACCTCCTCACTCTGCTGGCTCAGCTGCTCTTCGTCTTCCTCAGTGGCGCTGGTACGTGCTGCTGTGCGTGACCTGGTAGGTGATCATGCGCTCTTGTGACCTGTAAGGGGCACCTGGCCAACCTCCTCACTCTGCTGGCTCAGCTGCTCTTCGTCTTCCTCAGCGGCGCAGGTGAGTGATCATGAGCACTTTATGTGTTGTGCTGCGACGTTGTGAGCCGCCTATGCATGCGCTGGTTGCACTGATGCCTTCGGGGGTACAAGCTTGGAGCATGGGATGGGGGGTACCTCATCACTCTGCTCGCCCAAAGCTCAGCAGAAGAAGCCATGCGATGTTCTCGCTTCGTCACCCCATCATCCCCCTCTCTCTCCCACTTTCCCTGGCCAGTGTTTGCGCGCATCGGCCGGCCAGCAGAGACGGTGCGGTGCTCTCGTTTCATCACCCTGGCCACCCAGGCTGTGGCGGGGCATGGGGCGGAGAATAAGAGGTGAGGAGGAGATGCGGAGCGGGGGGGAGCAGAGAGGGAGATTGGTTGGATAGGAAGCAAGCTGTGAGCAAAGAGCAGCTCTGCGAAGAGTGAATGGTCTTGTCGTATGATGCCTCATGTCGATCTCTCTCAGTTCCCCGCTTCCTTCCTCCCCCCTTTTTTTTAGGAGATCCCAGGAGGAAGCTTCCTTCCTCCCCTAACACCCAAATCGTCTGTCCCTTCCTCCATTGCCCCCATCGTCCCACTCACACCTCTCAGGATCCTGACAGCCAGGTTCGCCCTGGTGGGGCTGAACACGCACGAGCTGGTGAACGTCAAGATGGCGCTCTCCCTGCGGCGCTTCCTCGCCTCCCCCTCGGGCGAGGTCCGCTGCACACTGCACGACCTCGAGCTTGTGAAATCCGAGGTGCGTCGCTTGATGGGCATCCGAGGCCAGCCCCCTGCACAGCCTCTCTCCTCGCCCACACTATCCAGGCCTCATCTCACACCTTCCCCCCATCCTCTCCCCAACCTCACTCCCCCCCTCCAGTAACCCTTTCTGCTCTTTGGCTCCAATCTGCGGCACATAGTGGGCGAGGCCAGCCCACTGTGCAGCCTCTCCTCTGCCTCACTATGCACGCCTTCCATCCTCCCATCCCTCCCTCCAGCAACCCTTTCTGCGCTTCGGCTTCAATATGCGGCACATAGTGGGCGAGGCCAGCCCGCTTCACGGCCTCTCCCTGAACGACCTCCTGGCATCAGATGCCTCCTTCTCCCTCACCATCTCGGGGCTCGAGCGCTCGTCCCTGCAGCCCATATTCGTAGTCAAGGTGAGAAAGCTATTGTGGAGGGGGGTAAAGGGGAGTCAACGTGAGTCAATGCTATTGTACAGGGGGGGTCAAGGTGAGCCAAGGTGAGCCAAGGTGGGTCAAGGTGAGTCAAGGTGAGTCAAGGTGAGTCAAGGTGAGTCAAGGCGCATTTTGTCATATGCCGCCCTTCTGCATGTCTCCTGCGCCCATTCCACCCTGCTATCTGCAGGAGTGCCCCGCCTTCGATGGGGAGGAGCTGTGGGACTAAGAGTTCCGAGACCTGCTGCGCATTCGGCTGAAGGGTATGGCAACCGCTCTGCACGTTCCCTGCACCCCGGTCCACCCTGCGATCTGCAGGAGTACTGTGCCTCGGATGGGGAGGTGCTGTGGGACTAAAAGTTCCTGGACCTGCTGCATAATTTGCCATCTGTCACCCGCCTGTGCTGCATGTTTGCTGCACCCCATGCCACCCTGCTGCCGTATCTGCAGGAGTACTACGCCTTGGAAGGGGAGGTGCTGTGGGACTAGGAGTTCCTTCGATCTCCCCCGAGGAAGTGGTGTGGGACTTTTCTTTACTCACATTCCCACCCCCTGCCCATGCCACCCTGCTGCCGTATCTGCAGGAGTACTGTGCCTTGGACGGAGAGGTGCTGTGGGACTTGGAGTTCCTGGACCTGCTGCGCATTCTGTCACATGCCACCCACCCATGCTGGATGTTTCATGCACCCCATTCCACCCTGCTATCTGCAGGAGTACTATGCCTTTGACGGGGAGGTGCTGTGGGAGTACGAGTTCCTGGACCTCCTGCGCATCGCATCGGATCTTGTGCCCACGGTGGACCACTCTCGACTCGACGTCGTGCAGCCTCTCAACACGCACACCTGATTCGGCGCGGCACACCTCAAAGAGCCTCCAGCTGCTCCACATGACTTCAAGCCCAACCAAAAAACTTCCTCTGGTTGCATTGTATGTTGTCGTCCCCACACGCGACCACTCTCGCGTTGATGGCGCTGTAGCGTCGGAATGCACGGGTGGAATGCACGGGTGGGCAGCTGCCCCTGGACGACCCCACCAAGATCAAGGCCTTGGTCCCCCAGCGTTTTTTGTGCTTGCATTCAACTGCTAGCTAGCTTTCGCGAAAAGGCTGTGTTGATGGTCCTGCTGCTTTTGCCCGAGTCACTATAGGGCCTGAGTTCTGTGCCTAGCTTGTGAGAGGAAGATGGGCCATTTGCTATTGCTCAATCGACTTGTGGCTTTTTCCATGGAAAGGTTCAGCTCTGGGTGTCAAGCATATATTGTATGTTTTTGTAGACTATATAGGGTTGTGCCTTAGGGAGTACAACCCATTAGCTTACATTCCCTTCTATGCCTTGTTCTATACATTCTTTCACTTGAACATGGTATCATGAGTAGGTGGGTCCCCCCCCCCCCCCCTAGCGTTTCCGCCCTAGGTCCTAGCCGCCTCGTCGCCCCGCGGCCCCATCCCCTAGCGGCCCCGCGGCCCCGTCCCTAGCGTCCGTCACGCTCTCTTGCCCAGTACTGTCTTTCTCCTGCTGCTGCAACCATGATGGCGGACTCGGTCCTGCGTTTTGATGCTGAGGGGCAGCCGATTGAGTTCGACTCATGGCTCGTCGACCTCCAGCGACACCTGACTGGTCAGCGGCAGGACGGCCACTCCCAGGCCGTCCACATCGACGGTACGCTCCCCTGCCCGGACCCCCCTGCTGCCCTCCCCGCTGACCCCACCTCTGCTGACCATGAGTCCGCTGCAGCTGCTGCCCTTGCCCGTGCTGTCTGGCTATCGCGTGACGCTGTCGCACAGCTTGCGATTAGTCATGCCCTTCCCCTGTCCGAGCGCCCCCGCTTTAGGTCCGTCAGGACTTCGCAGGAGTTCCTAGAGGCTGTTGTTGCGCGCTATTCCACCCCGCCCTCTGCCTCTGGAGGTCGCCTGATCCTGCCCATGCTCTTTCCTGACCTTGCGTCTTTCCCCACTGTCGCTGACCTAGCCGCCCACCTGCGCACGCTACACAAGACCTGGCGCGCTGCCTGCACTGGGGCTCAACTTCATGTGTTTCAGCCCCCCATCTGCTCTACCCTCTACCTGCTTGCCACCCGCCTCCCTAACCGCCTTGCCATCGCCCGCGATCACTTCCTTAGTCTCCACCCCGCTGACCTCACCCTCACTGACTTTGTCAACACCCTATCTGCCATAGAGACCCGTCAACGCTCTATCCCCCAGTCTAGCGGTACCGTCCCAGTCTCTATCTTTCAGGGCTGTGCCTTTGCTCAGTGCTCTTACTCCAACGGTTTTGCTGCGGTTGCTGAGACAGCTCCGGCTGTGGAGACAGCTGCCGCAGTGCAGTTTCGTCCAGGTAGGGATCACCGCCCCAAGGCTGGGCGCGGCGGAGGTAGCGGAGGAGGGGGTGGTGCCGGTGGTGGAGGTGGCTCGCCCGCTGGTAGTACTGACGAGGGGGCTGGGGCTGGTGCCCGGGAGCAGCACGCTCCGCAGCTGGACCAGCAGCAGCAGCAGCAGCAGCAGCAGAGGGTCGGTCGTCTCCCGCCCGGGTGGCCCGGAGCTAGAGGTGACGGTGGTCGCAGTGGTCGCTCGCGCGGTGTGTTGTCGGGTGGTAGTCAGACTGACGGGCGCTGCCAGTACCAGCTCCAGACCGGTCCTCACCGCGGCCTCGTGTGCGGTAAGATCGGCCATACCCCCGCTTGTTGCTTTCGTCGCCTTGACGAACTGTTTCGTCTCCGCTTCGGCCCGTCGCCTGACCTCCCCGACTGGCACAGTCTGCTCCGTCAACGTATTTCGATCTTTGATATGGACATGGATGAGATTAGCTCTGCTTTGTATGCGCTGTATGTTGATGACTCTAGTGTGACGGGTTCCTATTACCCAGTGTTGCCTAGCGTAGGTGTGCCCAGTGTGCCTAGTTCAAGCTCCCCTACTGCGTCAGGCGTAGGATCCCCTGCCTTGTTTAGCCTATGGTCCTCCCTCGCTCCTTCGACCTGTGTCGCCGTTGACGCGCTCTCCTTCACCTTGGACTCCGGCGCTTCCCAGTGTTTCTTTCGCGACTCCACTACGCTTGCGCCGCTTGCCGCTCCTGCTGCAGTTGCTCTTGCAGACCCTTCCTCCGGTCCTGTAGTCGCCCGTAGCTCCACTACTCTCCCCTGTCCGGCGGTTCCCTTTGGCTCCCTTACAGGCCTGCACATCCCCTCGTTCTCTAGGAACCTAGTTGGTGTCGGCTGCCTCCAAGACCTTGGCGTCACCACTACGTTCCCTGGGCACGAGCGGTACGCTGTCTGTAGTGAGGTCGCCACTGCTGCCCCCCTCACCACGTTCCCCCGGGACCCGGTGTCTGGCCTGTTCACGCTAGACACCGCTTCCCCCTCGGTGGGGACGCCTCCCCAGGTATCTGTGTCTTCCCAGGTTGGTGCAGCGTGCTCGTGTCGGTCGCTTACTCACCCTTCACTTCTGTGGCACCACTGTCTAGGTCACCCCGCCCTCACCCGTCTCCGTCACATGTCCCAGCACTGTCTTGTGAGTCGTTCCCTGTGCTCCCCTGAGTTGTTCCCTGTGCTCCCCTCGTCACCCGCGCCTCTGTGCACGCCCTGTGTCGAGGGCCATCTCTGTCGTGCCCCTCACTCCTCCTCGTTCCCCCCTGCCTCTGCACCGCTGCAGACCCTGCACATGGACGTCTGGAGCCCCGCCCCCGTCCATGGGCCACGTTGCGAGCGCTACTTCCTAGTGCTTGTCGACGACTACACCCGCTACACCACCGTCTTGCCCCTGGAGCGCAAGGCCGACGTGCCTGACGTTCTTCTCCCGTGGCTTGTCTCTGCGTGTGTTCACCGAGATCTCCTTGTCTTGCGTCTTCACTCCGACCGTAGTGGCGAGTTTGCCTCTGGCTGCCTTGGTTGCTTCTGTCGTGCGGAGGGCATCACCCAGACGTTCACCCTGCCGGACTCCCCGCAGCAGAATGGGGTCGCTGAGCGACGCATCGGTTTGGTCATGGAGGTGGCTCGTACCTCCATGATCCATGCCGGTGCACCCCATTTTCTGTAGCTGTTCGCCGTTCGCTACGCCGCTCACCAGCTAAACCTCTGGCCGCACCCTCAATGGTCGCAGGTTTCGCCGACCCTCCTCTGGACTGGGTCCCCTGGTGATGCGTCTGCGTTCCACGTCGGGGGCTGCCTTGCACACGTTCATGCCTTTGGCATGGACAAGCTCACTGCCCGCATTGTCCCCTGTGTCTTCCTAGGCTTCCCCCTCGACTCGTCGGACTGGCAGTTCTACCACCCGCCTTCTCACCGGTTCTTTCACTCTCGTGACGTCACTTTTGACGAGTCCGTCTCCTTCTACCACCGCTTTCCCCACCGTGGTCCCCCGGTCACTCCCCCCTAGTTCCTAGTGGCCCCCCCTCCCCCGGTCGACCCTGTCCACCCCCCTCCCCGCCCTGCCTCGTCTGGTGTGTCTCACGTCACCCCCCTCCCGTCGGTTGTCCCTGTTGAGGAGTCCGCTGACTCTCACGGCTCGGCGGAGTCTCTTCCCCCGCCTGTCCCTGCCCCGGTCTCTCCTCCCTTGTCGGCGCCGCTGCTGTCCCCGCCGCAGCCGCCTCCGCCGCTGCCGCCGCAGCCGCAGCCGATGTTGTCACCGCCGCTGGGGTTCGTGCGTTCTGGGGGTGCTGGGGAGCGAGCTGGAGCTGGTTCTGGAGCGGGCTCTGGGGGTGCTGGCGTGGGGCTTCTCGGAGGGAGCCGTGTTGTTGATGGAGGTTCCGGTGTTGGAGTCGGGCAGCAGACGCAGCTGTCGCCGCCGGTTTCCACTCTTTGCCTCCTCGGTCTCCCTTCCCCTGACCGCCCGTCGCTGCCACGGCCTCCTCCTCTGCCGGTCCATGGCTCCATGTTTCCTCCCCCGGACTCCTCTCCGGCTCGTTTCCCTCCCCGTTCTCCTCCTGTGTCTCCTGCTCTCTCTCCTGACCCGACTCCTCCGTCTCACGTCTAGTCGCGTCGTCCGTCTTGTGCTCGTCCTACCTCCCCTGTTCCGCGTTCTCACCCTATGTTGCCGCGCTCTCACGCATCTCATGCTCCTCCTCTCCTCCTGTCTCCTCCTCCCTCGTCGCTTGCTGTGGCCCCGCCTCCGTTCTCGGACTTCCTCCGTACTGCGCGTCCCCTTGTTCCTCGTGTCCTTGCCTCTCTCGTTACCGACCCGTCCGTTCCTGTTTCGAGCGTGTCGGCTCTTGTCGCTGCTGTCATTGACTTTGCCGCTACATGCCGCCTGGACTACGCCACCGCTCTGGTCTCTGACCCTGCCTGCCCTCCGACCGTCGAGGGTGTGGCTGCTCTTCGCAGTGACGTCCTAGAGGATAGGCAGTTCGAGCTTGCTTTCCTGTCTGAGGCCGCTCCCCATCTCTGTTCCATGCTACTAGTCCCTGAGGGTGACCCAGACGCCCTTGACATCCCGACCCCTCGCACCTACGCTGAGGCCACCTCGGGACCCTGGGCCTCTCGGTGGATAGCTACCATGGAGCAGGAAATGGCATCTTAAAGATCCACCGGTACCTTCGACAAAGCAGTTCCCCCACATGAGGTGAACGTAGTCGATGGCCGGTGGCTCTTCAAGGTGAAGCGCCCTCGTGGAGAGCCACCTATCTTCAAGGCGCGCTACGTTGCTCAAGGCTTCAGTCAACGTGAGGGGGTGGACTTCTTTCAGACCTTTGCCCCGACCCCGAAGATGACCACTCTTCGGGCGCTGCTACACGAAGCAGCACAGCGTGACTATGAGCTACACTCCCTTGACTTCTCCACAGCTTTCCTCCAGGGTAGTCTACACAAGCAGGTCTACCTGCGCCGCCCCCAGGGCTTCTCCGGTACCTTCCCCCCTGGCACCGAGTGGCTCCTCCGGCGCCCCGTCTACGGCTTGCGACAGGCGCCCCGTGAGTGGCACGACACTTTGCATGCTACATTTGCTGACTTGCAACATCAGGCATTTGACCCCAAGATGTCGTTGCCCTAGCTCCTCGGCTATCCACGTGAGCAAGTGATAGAGCGTAATCCGAGGTTCGGATTGTACAAAAGGGGGAATGAGGGAATAGAGTTGGGGGAATAAGGAAAGGGAGTGGTGGGAATAAGGGAAGGGAGTGGCGGGAATAGGGGAAGGGAGCACAGAGAATGGGGGGAGTGGGGGGGATAAGGGAAGGGAGTGGTGTGGCAGAGCATTAGCTGGAGGAAAAAGAGATACGGAGCAGAGCGTTGAAGAGAGGCCCTGGGACAGGCACCCTCAGACTCACCCCCCGTTGTTGCTACCATAAGCTCTTTTTGAGCTTCTGACCAACGACTCCCTGAATCCTGGCCCCGGGGAT